TTCTTACTTCCTTAGATATGACAAAATTTTCTTATGACTTTAGTATGTGGGAAAGAGATATACTGCAGGACATTCTTTGGCTCAGGAGCTGGCATGTAAACTTATTTCCTAGTAATAGGAGAAGAGTAAATACTTCATAAGACATAATAAGGTGCTTGGCTTTAAATNAGTACTTCCATTTTTAATTTTTTGAGGAAATTCCATATGGTTTCCCAATGCCTTGTTCTTTAGTTCAGTGGTCTTCACACATTTCTGCTCAGACAGGCTCTGAAAGAATTTTGAAAATCTATATGCCCCTAAACACTTTTAAATTCATTTCTAAGAATGTAACCTAAATACTTTCATCAGCTTAAAATAGCTACAAAATAGGTAATCTCCAAATCGATTAGAATTGTTGAGATTTTAAAATAAAACAATTACTCTTAAAGATGCGTCCAGGGGAGTATCATTACCATGCTGAGCTGTTACCGGACACCGCCACCCATACACACACACCTCTTCAAGTGCATGCCTTTCCCTTTAGGCTTGAAGCTGTCCCTCTATCCCACTTTCTTATAGAACTTCATCATGATGTAAAATGTTTCCATATCTATCTGGTCTTTTTAGTGTCTCTCTATCATACGTCTCTAAAGAAATGTAGGTCTACACATTAGTATGGAAATTAAAATAGGTATTTAAGTGGTTTTGTTTATTTATCCAAGTGTTTAAAAAAAATCTCTTTGAGGTTATTTTAACTACTAGTGCACAAATGCTAAGAACACACATTATATAGTTTGATCAGTTATTAAACCAAAGGTAAAATTTTATTGGAAATGCGTTTATAAATGTATTAGTTTATTTGTCCATGTGGTATTGCTAGAATGAGACAGGATGCAGCATAGAGTCTGTCCCCACCCTTCACCTTTACAGATATAAGTGCTAAGACATCTTGTTCCTGCATTCTATTAAAATCTCCCTGGGAACATGATATTAAGAAATTATTCTTAATTTTTTAGGTATGACATGTTGTGATTATATATATTTAAAATCCTTATTTTTTAGAGATATATAATGAAATATTCAAAGAATGAAAATGTCTGGGGAGTGGGCTAGAAGTGAGAAATGAGGAAAAAGGTGTGAGTGAAATAAGACTGCTCAGGAGTTGGTAACAACAGCTAGGTGACTGGTGCATTATACACAAATCCATCGTTATATTCTCTCCACCTCTGTGTATATTTAAAATTTTCCATAATAAAGGCAAAAAGAGAAACGTAGAGCTGCTGACGTAGGTGCTGGTTCAGTTTAGAGAAAATGTTGGCTGCAAAGTCAGGCGTCACTGTCAAATCACCCAAATGAGAGTTATTTCTGTGTGAAAGAGTCTGACCTCATTTCTTCAATTCAAATAAATGTGTTAATATGTGTCTCAAGGAATATTCTAAAAAAAGGTTGAGAAAAGGACAGGATATATAGTGTAGGACAGATTACTACACTATAAAAAAGCAGTCAATATTAAAATAATGAAATTGATAGAAGGGTTTTATCTATTTCTATAAAATAGGTTATGAAAACAAGGTGGTAGAGCGCCAGACACGCTGTTTCTGGGCCACATTTTCCCATGGTGGCTGTCTGGCAACGCGATGTAACGCGGTTAAGACGGTTCACGGTAAAGGAGTGTGGCAGAAGACATGGTCCTTCAGTAAACGCGCATGAACAATGAACCCTGGTGTCTGGCTTTTGACATAATTAGATAAAATAGAGTATAAAAATTAGAAATAATACCATTTCTTTCTTACTTCCTTAGATATGACAAAATTTTCTTATGACTTTAGTATGTGGGAAAGAGATATACTGCAGGACATTCTTTGGCTCAGGAGCTGGCATGTAAACTTATTTCCTAGTAATAGGAGAAGAGTAAATACTTCATAAGACATAATAAGGTGCTTGGCTTTAAATGGAATTTTTTTGATATGATTTGACAAAATAGGTTTTAGCTACATTATAGAAAAATCCATATGAAATTGTCAAAGAAATTAAGCAAAACTTTTATCCACGGGTCTGGTAGTTCCAGAGAATATTCCAGTCCCATTCAGAACAATTATCATCATCTAAAATGACACTGGCACGAACAGAACCTTCCTCCCTGACAATGGCGTGTCCTGGGGAGAGAGTACTAGGACAGCTCCAAGGTCTGCTTTGTGGAATTTTGTGTTTCTTATGGATGCTCTTTGTTTTCCCAGGGCCTCTCAACAATAACAGATTTTTTACAATAGTCAGGGGATGGAAGAGGCAAAGTTATTGAACAAAAAGTGTCATCACTCCCACAACCCACTCCAGCATATGTGAAGTCAGAATCTCTCAGTGTGGACTAAATACCTCTTTTGCAGACAAGCTTCACCTTAAGAGAAGTGTTAACAAAGAGAAAAACTGGATATTCTATTAGTTTGACATATCTGTGCTCAGTACCCTGTGGGTTTTTACTCCTTGGGAACTGCATCATCAGTAAGATGTAGGATGGGTAAGGAATATGGCATTCTCACATGAACAAGATGGTTTTAGTGAGAACAGGCACATTCTCAGCATATCAATTTTCGCGTAGGTAGGAGCACCTCTGAAACCTGAGGATCTGGACGTGATTTGTTAAAGGATCTGTGCTTGCATATGCCCTTGCCAGTCTTTACTTTTGGTAACAAACACAGCCAACTGTGTTGTCTCCAAAGATGGACATGCTATTTCCCATCCCACAGGCTCTTTTGCCTTCAATTTTGCCATGCCCGAAGCAGCAGGTAGAGTCTCCAGTCCTGCAAGCCTCCTGAGTGTTACCGAGTTCTTCACTCTGTTTTGACCAATGTATGTTTTTTCACTCTTTAAACTGGGATCAGGACAAATCTTGGAAACAAACTTGTTATTTACAATATGGTCAGCTACTACTGTTTAATCTGAACTGAAATTTAAATAAGAAATATAATAAAATAACAGAGTACTGCTCCAGCATGCTGAAGTACACCACAGTACAATGTATAAAAACAAAAGTGAACAGGTACTTAGGCAGAATGAGTTTTAAAAGCTACAATTTTTCAAGAATCATCAGAGAAAAAAAATCTAATATAGCATTCACAACAAGTAAATAAGCTATGACATTATCACATGGTATTATGAGTAGGTTTCTTGTAGGCTAAGTAGAAAGTCTACAAAGATATTAGAGAGGGCTCCTGAGCAGTCCCAACCCAAGGCCTTGCAGTGGCAGGAGTGGCCTGTGCGTCTCCCACCCCCATCCCCCATCGGCTTCTAGCCACAAAGGCAAAGCAGGACTTCCCTCCAAATGGTGTCTAAAACAGGGTTCTATGCCAGGTGTCTTTCAAAGTTTGGGGGAAAAACAGGCTTCTCATTCAGGATTCACAACAAATCTTTCAAAGGTCACTATGAATAGCATCAAAGCACCCATATGCTTTATAGCAAACCTTCAAAAAAGTGATAGGAAATGTGACAGCTTTTCATCATCATACCTTAAATTTTGACAACTGACTCATCTGTGTGCCTGTGAATCACACTTCAAAAACTAATCATAACAATACACTACTTTTCTAAAGCACAGAAGGAAACTTATTAGATTTCCAAGTACCTGGGGAAGATGGATTGGTAAAGATACGTGTCTACTTGCTGGAAAGTCAAAAGACTAAATACATGTGTTCTGTACTCTTGAACTAAAATTTTGCTTTATCAGATACAAAAGAAATTAATCAGCCTTTCGGCCAGAACAGCCATCTGCCAGTAATTAGCCAAAATGACCAACACAAAGGGAAAGAGGAGAGGCAACCACTATATCTTCTCTAGACCTTTTAGAAAACATGGAGTTGTTCCTTTGGCCACACACATGTGTATCTACAAGAAAGGTGATATTGCAGACATCAAGGGAATGGGCACTGTTCAAAAAGGAATGCCCCACAAATGTTCCCATGGCAAAACTGGAAGTCTACAATGTCACCCAGCATGCAGTGGGCATTGTTGTGAGCAAACAAGGGCAAGATTCTTGCCAAGAGAATTAATGTACGTAAGAGCATATTAAGCACTCTAAGAGCCGAGATAGCTTCCTGAAATGTGTGAAGGAAAATGATCAGAAAAAGAAGGAAGCCAAAGAGAAAGGTACCTGGGTTCAACTGAAGTGTCAGCCTGCTCCACCCAGGGAAGCACACTTTGTGAGAACCAATGGAAAGGAGCCTGAGCTGCTGTAACCCATTCTCTATGAATTCATGGCACGATAAGTGTTAAAAAAAAAAAAAAAAAAAGACCTCTGTACTGATAAAAATGTTTCTCTTAATTGGGTAGAAGTGTGGTATCCCTTCCCCCCAAAAAATAATTAAAGAAAACTTTGTGTCCTTAAATAAAAAAAAATAAAAAAAATAAAATAACCAAATTGAAGGTATCTAATGAAAAGTATCTTGTTGTCATGAATCCTTGTGTTAGGACAACTCTGTTTTAAGCCTAGAGGAACAGTAATGAAGATCGTAGAACTGCGAGGTTCCAGGTGGTTTTTCCAGGGGTTTCTGCTGAGAACAGCATGCTTGGGGAGTAAGAGTCTGCACACACCTAGTGGTCACGGATAAAGTGCACACGGAAAAGCTTCCAGAGTTAGAGAAGGAAGTTTACACTTAGAGGCAATCATTGATTGCTCACTGAACAAATAAAAGAAAAAGGCACAAAGCTTATCACTGGGGCTGGGAGCAAACATGACTAAGGTGGAGAATCAGGGCCCTATTCAAAACCATCCAATGGACCAGTATCTCGACAGACGCCTGGGGAGCCTGTGTCTGACTTCTGGGAGGACAGAGAGGTTAAGCTGGCTCTCCATGGACTGCACTTGCAGATCCAGTCCCAACTACGGAAGCTCATAGAGACGAAGTGCCCTTTTAAAAATCTTTAAGAAGAAGGATTTCCAATGAGCTGGGATTTTCCCAATGGCTAAAGCAATCAGTTCACACAGGCATACAATTAATTACATGGTTATAATCATATCATTTACTCACCCTCCTAATAGTATCTGTGGCTGGCTGGGTTCATGTGTGACACCAAACACATCAGGAATTAAATCACCATTGAAGCTAAAAAGAAAACATGAAACAGCTATTTTACTAACTTTAGAAGGAAAATGACCCTCAGGAGGTGTGGTAGACATTACAATGCTCACAGCATCTGTCGCAGTTAATGAAACGGCAGACGTGATGTGTCACCTCCAGGCAAAGTGTCTAATTTTTGTAACTGGACCCTCCAGCCCTCTTGCCGTGGCAACTAGAAGAGCGCGTGTTTCAGACAGTCCAGCTGCACAGACAACCAGGCCTCTGGCAGCCTGACTCCCTGAGTGAGGGCAGAGCAGAGCCCTTCACTGACCCACAGGGACGTGCAGTGTGAGCAGGAAATAAACCTTCATTCTAAAACTGGGGTTGTCTGTAACCTCTGCATAATCTAGCCCATCCCTGAGATAAGGAGACATCACTTACTTCAGAATCATGATCCAACTTGTTTAGTTAGATGGACTTAGGAGAAATAATCCACAAAAGCAATCTCTGGCTGGTATAAAAGTTCAAAGTGGCCACTGCATATTTCAATAACCATAAAACATGTGCACAATGAAAGAAACCTAGCTTTAAGTGCCTTTAAGAAGATCAATCCATGAATTTGTAGATTTCTAATGGCCACTGACCTACTGGTATTGTCACCGTGGTTTTAATAACTCTGTAGGATAAGACTGTGGTCATACACTACTTTAGTCCCCCATGATCTTTACCTCATTACAGAAAATCCTGAAGTTTGTACTACCTTTATCCTGGTATGAGTCTATGTTGAGGAAATAAGTGATAACACTAGGAAGAGCTATAAAAAAGGACAAGTTTCTCCTTCATATAGAAGTCATGTAAATCACTGGAGGAAACCGTGTACCCTTGGTATCCATCCATTAAGCACTAACAGTTTTACCCAAAGACAGTTTTCTTAATTCTCTGATGAATGACATGGCTGGAATCAACACAGATCTGTGACAGACACATTCAAAGCTACTGAAACAGAAATGAACACAAATCTCTTTTACTTTCCAAAATACTAAATTCCACTTTTCTTTCCTCCATCATGGCAAATAAGTATCATATAACCAAAAGCCTGGGCCCTACCAGCTTTAAAGGGAGAATGGATTTAGTGTCAATACTACTTAGCAAAGTAGTTTTTTATGTGAAAATTTTTATTTTGTTTGTAAGTTTAACTCAAAGGGAAGTAAGCATATACTTACTCCATAATTAGAGGTTCATCTTGAAAAGTCCTATTGAGCATAGTCATATTATTAGGATCTGTAAAGAAAGCAAATACATAAATTATAGGCATTTTGTATTACTTTTGATATCTACCCTTAGGGAAAAATATTTTTTCATTCTTTTCAGGATTCATCTCTAATTAATTCCAACTATTACCATTAATGAGACACTAACAATCTAACTCAAATGGACATCAAGTTTGTAAAGGCAAAACATCGGGGAGTTCCCTCTGCAGTAACTACAAGCATTAGAATAACTTCCATTCGAGGCTTCACTCTAAAACCTCTGAGGTGAGTCTTCTTTACATATAATTTAGTCCTAGAACAGTTGGCAACTAAGGTTTCCTGGCAGAGGAGACAACACATGCAAACTTTCTTTAGATCCTTACTGACTGAATGAATCTGAAGTGTTAAGATTCCCAAATGTTATAGAAAACACAACTGTATCCCCTCCATGATCAAAGTTGTCTGTTTAGGTAGAATTAATTGGCTTTCAGGTCTGACTTGAAGGTTGTGAGTGGATGTGGTACACGACTCTCAACTCTTCTCCACCTTGCTGTGCTTTCCTGAACAGCATTTCTCAGCTATCCTTGCACCTGAGACTCTCAATTAAACATAAGCCTTGCCATCAGATACACTGTGAGTTTAGGAAGGCAGGAGTGTGGTGAAGCTGTGGTCCTGCCATGTCTTCTCAGAGTCTGATCAGTCAACTACGAGTCTCAAGAGGCAGGTGCAGGGCACCCAGTTTGCTGGGGAGAATCACAGTGGGCACAATGGCATTCTGGCAGGTGTTGTGCAAATGGCCACTTTCTGATGGTGAAGAGGCAGTAGCTTCCTAGAAGGCTTTGGGGATTGTTCCAGAAATTTCAATCTAGAGTATGTTCTTCAGCCACCAAAACCCTTTAATAAATTTCTCTCTTCCTTAAGCTAGCCAGACTGAATTTTGTTTTCTAGAATTGACCTCAGACTAAGTCTGAGTTGAAAATGAAAAAACAGAAAATGGACTTCTAAACAAAAGTTTTTCACAATTACTGACACTCAAGAACTACATTAAAAAAAAAATATATATATATATATATATATATGCTTTTAAAAACATTGATTTCAGAGAGAGGAAGGTTGAGGGAGAGAGAGAAACATCAATGATGAGAGTCACTGATCGGCTGTCTCCTGCACGCCCCCTACGGAGCTGGAAACCCAGGCACGTGCCCTGACCAGGAGTCAAACCGTGATCTCCTGGTTCATGGGTTGACACTCAACTGCTGAGCCACACTGGCCAGGCAAAAACTGCATTTTAAAAAAACTGACTTCAGAACAAAATTTTTGTTACATAAAAATACCAGGCATATTTTTCCTTTCATATCCAATAATACATAGTAAAAACTCCGAAGACAAATTCACCTAATGTTTGATTTTGTCCCCAGAAGATGACAGCTCCTAATTCACCGTTGACATGATTTTTGGGAAGATATGTCAGCAGGACATCCATCTGTGAGTCTCCATCGTAATCCCCTGGCACTACACTTGTGATCAGTGCACTGTGATTCCTATGAGAAAAAAGCATCTACAATATCTAGTCGAGTTAATGATAGAAAGGGACACTTCTATATTTGTACCATACAAAAACTTTCAATGCAAAAGTTGAAATTTCACAGAACTGATTAATTTCATTCTCTTCTCAATGTCTTATCATCCTTTATGTATGCAGGACCTTTTGTCTACAGAAGAATTCAGGATGAATGCGGGGTTGCTAAGAAACAAGACCAATGTGAAATACATCAAGAAAAACTTGCTTTAGGTTCAAGAACTGGCTAATATAGTGCTTTCACTTAGCTTTTTTCGTCAAGGATACCAAGATGTGTAGAAGGTGTTTATAACAAATGGAGGCTCATAACCAATTGTTAAAACAGCAGAGAGTATCCTTGTCATTTTATTAGTTAAGATACATCATTTATAAAAAATTTAATTTTGGATTTATTTTATTGTTAATCCTCACCAAGGATATTTTTTTTCATTGTTTTGTGTTTTTTTTGAGAATGGAAGGGAGGGAGGGGGAGAGAGAGAGAGAGAAACATTGATGTGAGAGAGATACATCTATTGGTTGTGTCCCGTATGCACCCTGACTGGGGATCAAACTCACAACCTGCTGTTTTTACAGCCATCTCTTGGTAAAGCTGTGTCCCATCTTGAAAGCCCTCGCCTAAGTTTTACTTAAGGGCAAGCTCAAGCCCCACAGCTTTGTAGAAGCTGCCCTTTGGCATTGCCTGCACTGATTCATCACTTCCTCCCTGAACCAGACAGCAATCAATCCTTGCTTCTAGTAGTTTCCAAAGTATGCTGGCTCATGGCTGATGGCAGTCACTGTGTTTTACACAACGCTAGTCGTACAAAAGAAAAATAAGAGCTATTATTTGAACATTTAAAATTCACCTTGATTTGAATTCCTTCAAAATCAAGCTTAAAAACTCACCACCAACCAGTCAATAAACAAAGAAAAAATGAGAACAGCGGTCACTGATCTTTTTCCCAGTACAAAGGACTCCCCTCCCCCATCTGCCATCTCACAAAACGCAGCTGACCTGCTAAGCCTGTGAAAGAGCTGCTCCCAAGAGTACACTCAGGATGAGGGACAGCATATTAGACTGCAAGGCAATGATGAGTGATTGCAGGAACAGACCTGGATCCACTAAATTTTATTTAAAGTAAATTATTTGTGAACTTTGGTACATGATATTTTTCCAAAGAAATTACTTCCTACTCATGCCTCATAATTAGTGGTTCTGTGTAACGCTACAGTCGGGTACATTGAATTCAGACAATCTAACTAGTTACTGCATAACCCTTATTACACTAATGATTTTTACAGAAACAAATACATTTGTACTTACTTTAAGGAAACCTTTACTTTGGGTTTAAAGTAGGGTGCATTCTGGTCTGCCAAAAAGATGATTAAATCATTTCCTAAAAGAAGCGGATGTATGATATTAGAATAATGTTCTCTGGTAAGACATCCAATCAAGTGTTTGCAAAAATTTTCTGGGCACTGTTCTCAACAAGAAAACTTTTATTTGACTGCAGTTCATCTGCCCTTTCAAGGTTAGTCCTACGTGTCTGATGGAATGGAGATTCCTAGCAGTAAATCACCAATTCAATGTTCAAAGGAAGGATGAACATGGAAAATGTAGTTGGTCAAGACAAATTTGAGCCAATGAATGGCTTCTGCCAGGAGTCCGACTGGATGGCTTAAAGAACATGCCTTAGGCTCTATGTCAAGCCTTGTCTTCCTCAAACCTAACAACAAAGCCCCTTAGTACGGCTGTTGAGCTCATCAGATGCATCACACCGAGGACACGGGAACTCCTGCTGTAGGTATCTAATAACACGTTAGGTATTTAGGCAAAACAAGCGGAGCCCTCCAAGACCCTCCTCTGGCGGCTCCTGGTTGATGCGGTGTTGGAACTCGATGAGCACCCACCGGAACAGACTCCTTAGGATCGTTTAATCAAACGCAAGCCACCTTGAACGTGGTCAGAAGTCTCCGTATCCAGTGTGGACGGAGTGGCCACAGGTTTGGGAGTCTGCAATCTTTCTGCAACATATGGAGCCGTGTGAAGATAAGAGAAATATCCAGGGTCCACAGGAGGCCCTGCGGGTCCTTGCAAGGGACCCAAGAAACCTGGGCCGGACGCCCAGCCAGCTCGTGGGAGCAGTCACCCCCTTCCCGCCGGTTCCGCGGGTGCTCAAGGATGCCAAGACCCTGCAGCGCCCACTGTCAGCTTCGAGATTTACAGACATGTCTGCGTAGAGGGGCTAAAGCGAGGATCTCCCAAGAACCTCAAGGCGGCAAGGACAGCACTGCTGTGGAGGGCGAGCGACCAGAGCGAGGGCGGGTCAGGTGCGCGCGAGGCGGCAGCTCAGGGGCCCCCGGACCCCTCCCGAGGGCTATCGGAGGCCCCCGGACCCCTCCCCGGGGGCTATCGGAGGCCCCCGGACCCCTCCCGAGGGGCTATCGGAGGCCCCCGGACCCCTCCCNTCTCCCGGGGGCTATCGGAGGCCCCCGGACCCCTCCCCGGGGGCTATCGGAGGCCCCCGGACCCCTCCC